GTCGTTTGTGTTGGATTAGGAGGGAACACAGCCCCCCAAAGCGGCGTTGTTTGGACTACGGCGATCGGGGTTACAAACCCAGAGATCCCAAAAGGAATTGCCCGGTTTAAACCTAGTTTTTAATTTTTCCAAACCCTTACGTTCCTTCTTTATTTATGTGTGGTTATCTGGCCGAGAAATGGTGACAAATTCACTGCAAATTGGTTTTTCTTGTAGCGTAAACGAAAATTGCTAGGGCTCCCTCTCCCTTAACCCATTTTGGATTATTTCAACTACAAAATACTGCTTCGTTAGAAGAGAAAAACAACAAAGCAAAACCTCGGATATGACCTAGGAAATCTCATTTATAAATTGCTGTTAAAATACAGTACCTCCTGATGGGGTTTTGCTTTCGTTTCCGAGGTGTCCCGTTCTTATTTTTTGTTTTAGTGTGGGAAATTCTTGGAGTCATTAAATTAATTGTAGAAGTGGAGGCTGAGCTGCAATGATTTAGTCAGAGGTAGAAAGATTACCGATTATTGCAGTTTCTTTAGCTTTAGAATATATGTATGTATATATAAATAAAGGTGTATAGAGAGGTGTGTGTGGGTATGTATACATATTTTTAGATATTATGCATATATATTATGTATATGTTTTTATATAGATGTGTGTATGCATACACACGCGCATACACAGATTTGATCAGCACTCGCTTTAGTCGTAAACTACCCACCAGGTGGGTATATTTTATAGACACCGTGATTTTCTTTCAGTGCAGTGTTGTGGATAATGACCCCATGGCTTTTTATCTTTCTTTAGGGGTATACGTGATGCTCGTCCTTTCTCTCGATGGTACCCGGTAGATTTAAGCATTTTAAGCTTCCCACTTGGTGTTTAATAACATAACAGAGAGAAGTAGTGGTGCTAAGAAAAGCCGGGTCTCAGGGTGACACGGAAGTTGAGTTTTTAACTCAGTTTCCAAAAGTTATAAAACTAGACGATGAAGGAAAAATAAATCTGTTGGGGTTTTCGTTGTTAGGTTTTTTGTTGTTGTTTCTTTTTTTCCGGGAGAGACATGGGGTTGGAGAATCTCGCGGAAGAGAGAGAAGGATGAGTAAGAAGGAGCAGAGAAGGGAAGGAGGCGGGCGCTGGAGGAGGTTGGGGCAGGAGTGCCAAGCCAGCCGCGGAGGAGCACGCCAGCTTCCCCTGGTCCTGGGGGTCTCTCTCCTGCCCTTGTTCCCCAGTGCTGGGAACCAGTGGGGCACGAGTTAGCCAATTTTTCGATGAGGGAAAGGACGGGTGTCAGTGGAGCCGCATCGCGGTGTAACGCGGAGCAAAGCAGTCCGCAGTTCCTGGGCCACGCGAGTTTTCTGGTTCTACAGTGCAAAACGCGCCAGCAAAGCCGAAGCCACGCATGCTCCCTTTTCAAAATTGTAGGAAAATTGTCAGGGAAATTGTAGAGGAAATATATTTTTTACGGTTAACTATTAGAGTTTGACAAAGCTTGTTTAATGTTACTCGTAGAGATATTAAAACAGTATCTGACATTAAAATTTTATTTTGTTTTCTTTGAAGATAAATGTATTACGCGGTAAGAGAAAATTTTTTTTTAAATGCCCGAGAATTATTGTCACGGCAGAATTTGTTTCTGGAGGCACGAAGGCAATGTTATAAAGTAAATAGCTGAGACAAATAACTGTTTAACTTCAGCGTCCTTGAAGCCTTAAGCATTTTCCTGATTAGTCTTCTATGGCGCTTTTAGTGCAAAGATTTATTAATCTTAGCGATGTGCTAAGAACTACACGCTGACAATGTCAGTTGAACTGTGCTCTCTGGAATGTGCCGTGTGCCCGTTCCTCTTTAACGCCTAATAATTTGCAAACGAAGGGAGGAGAGAAAAGTATTTGGGTGGGTGCGGGCCAAAAGGCCATTTCTTTCCCAGCTGAATGCCCGCCGTGGCACCTCAACCCTGTGTCCAAAGCTGCTCGAGGTTTATAAGCTCTTTTTCCCTATACAGCGAAACGTAAAAGAATAACCCAATGATGAATTAAAGCAGGTAGCGGAGGGAGAAAAAAAAAGAAAAAACAATCAGTGATGAAGCTCTTGAGTCTGAAACAGACATTCCCAGCTTCGACTCGAAAGCTGCTGTAGAAATCCAAACATTTCCTTTTTTTATTTCTGCACAACGTGGCACCGTCCATGTAAAAACCGTGTTTATTCCTCCCTCCCCTCCCTGAAATATGGGGAGTTGAATCAGAACAGGGTGAAGGTGTCAGCTTTTATAGGTGGATTCTCTTTTTTTTTTTCCCCCCGTGCATTTAGACCTTATTTTCCTCTCAGTGTTCAGTAACTATGAAAGCAGGAGGCAGAATACCGCGTATTTTTCCATTTCCTCCGTTTCCTACCAACTAGCTCGAATTTGACCAAATAGCCGAGGCAAAGTGGTCGCTGCCCGTCGCTGCCTTGGCACACCAGA